TGAAGAAAAAATGCTTTCTGGCATTTGCTTTCTCTTTCAGGTATTCGGGTTTTTTAGAGAGCAAGGAAAAATTCCTTTGATCTTTCAGCTACAGTTTTCTAGCAGCATCTTTTGGTTTTAAACGACTGATGATCTACTCTTCCAATGGAGGTCATGAAAATAAATTTTAAACTAGCCAAGCAATTCCTTGAAGTTTACCTTCTGCCAGATTTCTGAAAATCAGTAATGTCATTCTGCAATGCCCTCTGCTGGGAGACACAGCTTGGAGCAGGAAGGAGAGCTACCAGTTTCCATCCTCCAGCAAGGAACAGATATTTGCAATGAGATGGACTGGATTTTCACCTTCTATATGAAATCCTGACCATGCTGAAATCAGTGAGRTCCTAGCTTTTTAATTTTCACTTTGCCCTTAATCATTCTCTCTTTTGAAAACTGCACTGGAAAAGAAGCCTGTTTATTTCAAGTCCAAATGAAAACCTCATTAGTCACTTACAGACATGAAGATCTCTGTTTAGCATTTGAGATTCTAGAGAGAGGTTTTGTGAAGAAGTTTTCATCTGTAAAAGACTTTGTTCTTCTTGCCATTCTTCTACGTCTTTTAAACTGTAAAAGCCTGTACAAAATCACACATGCAAATGGCATTCATGTTACACAGGTGGGATTCTGCCTAATGTATTTTCACTGACCAGGATTCTTGTACTGAGAAAAGGGAGTTATGCAGTGAAACAAAGTGCAAACAAACTGCAGTGCAGTGAAACAAAGGAGGGCATCTGGAACCTGATGTGTGACAACACCAGCCCTGTCAGCTGCCACTTCCGTCTCTGAGATGCAGCATCCTGGGGCCTCAGGATGAAAAATCATAATCAGCCCCACTGAGGAGCAGGATGTTATTGTGTAGTGCACACAAACTGCATCTTCACCCCCACATGCACACTCGCAACATGCCCCTGTGGCTTACAAGATAGTTATTCCTAGTTCACAACTTTTCTGGAGAATTATCCCTGAAAAGTATTTTCCAGTCTTGGCAAGGGGGATGGAATGCTATGTCTGCTTTGGTTTCAGCTCCATCAGCTAGGCTGGTTTTACATGGTATTTGTCTCTCACTGCAAAGGGCAGCAAGCAGGAAGGATTTTTCCACAATAATCCCCAGCCCTCTGTGCTTGATGCTTTCTCCTTCCTACTCACATTCTCACAGCCTAGTTCCCTCCTGCCACGCCAATTATCCTATATATACTAATTATTATTTCTGTTAAATGGAAACACTTTTACCTTGTGATAAGTTCTCTGCACTGACCTGCTTTGWCACCACGTGCTTCCCTGTGCGCCAYTTTACAGGGACTGACACCCTTGGTGCCAGAGMATGCAGGTGCAGTAAAGCTGCACAGCGCCTGGCAACACCATTTTTATTCGAAGTTACACATAATTATCATTGATTTGGAAGTGTGACCGCCTTGTTACACAGCCTTACAAGCTGACAGGKTTTTCCCAGAAATGACTTTCCAATGTTTGTTATGCCCTCACAGAGATCAAAATGTCATGGTTATGAGAAGCTTTGAAGATTATGCCATGTTAATGAAAAGATCCCCAGACAAGTATTTTTTTGTTTTGTATACTGTCCTGAACAATCTTCTGCTTCCCTTGGTAAGCACCACAATTTCACACTCATTTGAAAATAAGCACGTATGTTTACAAATGTCTCAAAGTATATTTATCCCTCACAGCAATGGCTAAGATTGTCATTCTGGACACTTACCAGTTCATCTCAGGAATAGTTTCCTTCGCAAGAGAACTGTGCAGCCACAGGTGGTGGGTGCTCACATATTCAAACCTTGAAATTATTAATTCAGAGGAAAGTTTTAAGTAACTGGAAGTTGTTCCAGTTCTCGTGCCCCTCACGGGTAAGGCAGCTGTTCCAGCAAACTGAACTRAAAACCCACCCTCTGAGCTGGCACCTTCGATGGAAGGACCAACAGTGAAGTCCAAGACTGGGACAGCCTCCAGCTTAAACTGTTCTTTGATCTGAGGCTGTCTCTCAGCATCACAAACCAGGGTTATATGAGGAATCTTGCACACACTGTTAGTTTTGCTGCCAAGAGGTCTTTCAAGAAGTTGTCTCCCAATCTGGTATCTTGAGTTGAATARTTTCATTCACAGGAATGCTTGCTAGTGGTTAAAATTATGGCCAAAAATCTAGACTCAGCTCTGAATTTTCTCATGTTGATGCACTGTGCTACATATAGGAAATAAGTGTGGTATTGTACTGGACTGTGACCAGGAACTGGATAAGAACAGTATCCTGTGAATGGGTGCGAGAAGTTGAACTGTTCTACATTTGCTGGCAACGATAGAACACCTCGGGGAGAGGCAGTCACTGCATTACCTCCACCCCCAACTTCTGGGATCGACCAGAGACAGGAAGGCAGAAAAGACTGCAATATGCTATCACCATACCAAAAAGAAGAGTGCCTCCCTGCCATCATTTCCCTCTTGTCTGGCAATGGGTAGCACTCAGAAACAACTTCAGTGTTCCCTGGTTCTGCTGACCTCTATCATTACYCAAGCCCTGGAGAGTTCATTGTTCAGAGAAGAGGATTGAGAAGAGTTCTGGCCAATCTCAATTTAGGCTTTTTTTAGTTCCCAGATAAAACAGAAGAGGCAAATTAACATCCTGTCCTATAAAGATTTTTGTCCTCATCACTGTTGTGGCAAAATCCAGTTCTATCAGCATGGCTGAGAAAGCTTTCAGTGGCTTGAGAATTAGAGAATATGAGGGTTTCCACCCAGGACAGCTTTCCAGCTTTCTGTCCTCTCTTCCTAAGGATCTATTGAGATAGTGAATTAAAAATAAAAGGCCATCATCATCAAAGTGGTCACTCTGTACCTTTCCAGCTCTCAGCAACCAGTAACCTCACCATTTGCACCAATATAAGCCCCAAGCAGTCACTGAGAGACATGATTTGCACAAGCCACTTCAATGAGTTCTTGAGAGGACAAAATTCAGGGCACAACCTCAACTCCCTTCGCCTGGCCACAGCTTAGCTGAAAGCCCAGTATGTCAGATTCACCTCAGTGTGATTCCAGGGACTAGTCTGGAATCAATTTGACCCAGTAAGTCTCTTTGATTGCATCAGGCCTTTCAGAAGTTTTGAACAACAAGGATCCAAACAGCAGGCAGCAATCTGTACAAAGCCAATCTTTTCAGTTTAAGGGTTTTTAAAGGTCTGTTCCTTTTTTCCTTTTCTTTTTTGTTTTCTTTTTTTTTGTTTCAAATGCTTTCCAACTGAATAAATGCTGCAATGAGTTCATGGGAGAAGGCCTCGAGGCACCCCTGACTTTGGCACCGTTATCCCTTAGACACTCCATACATTTTTGGCACCTTGCAACAGACACACTGACAGCCACAGGATTGATGGAAAGGGAAAGAAGCTGTTTTCCAGTCAAAAGAGAATGTACTCAGATTTCTAAGGCCATTTAAAAGAGTGCCAGAATGATACTGGATTTCRGCATTCTTAAGCTCCTTTAAGATGATGCAGCAAGTGGTCTTTTCCACATGTGATGATGTATTTCAGGACAAGAGTTTCTTCAAAATTTTCCAAGCCTGTGGGCTCCTGATCCTTTTTCAAATTACAGAGATGATAGCATACTGGGGAGAACTGTGATTAGTTTAAACTCTCCACAGCTGCAAGAGATGAATGTAAAAATTCCACCCAAAAATCCACTTCTTCTGGATTGAATTTACCTACATGACACAGAGTCCTGGCCAAGGGACCACTTAAAAGAGCTGGAGCAGCATCAACACTATTTAGTTTCTTCCATCACATCAACCCAGCAAAGGCTCACGACTCTTCTACCCAACAGAACTCCCGCAGCAGCACTGCCACAGATTGGGCTGGGGTATTTATGCAGAMCTGAGATATGCAGGGAGGAAAACGGAACAATGAAATAAAAGCTTAAGTACAAGGCAATTCAGAAAGGGCTTGCAACTCATTAATTGAAATACCCAGAGAACTGCAAAATACTTTGCTACCAAGAAGTTCTTAAGGACTGCAGACCGCACTTCAGCACATGGTGACAAATCTTGAACCATCTTGGCAGCGGGAGGGTACAAGCACCGTATTTCCTGTCTCAGTTGATCTGAGAAGATGGCAGCGCTCTGTTTAGATTAGCATGACCTCTCTCTCTAAATTGCTTCCTTGCATTTCTGAATAAATATAATAATATAGGGCATTGACTGACACCACGGGCGGTAGGCCCACCTCGGGACATCTGAGCTGCCGTGTGTCTCTGACGAGAGACGGGGCTGGCATTAGAAGGCTGGTGACTGACACTTCCTACGTWTGTCTGGATTTATTAACAGGGCGATAGGCAAGAGCCACTTTTATGGGACTTTCTGCAAAAATGCCT